TTACTAGACGATGGATAATATCCAAGTAAATTTTTAGTCAATTGTATTGTAATAGTTTTGATTAAAATTCTGGGCATTATCCATCGTTTGTTGTTTGTCATAATACGACGTTTCGGGGACTGGAGCTGTCTCCATCATCAGGTAAAATAAGATGGACGAGGGGATCAGTGATGGAGACTAGCTCCTTCTGGGTTGTTGCGCCGTGTAGTCTGGTAGAAGTTTACGAATTACACGTAGGCCTGTGCATATTCCTAAATATATTTGGTAGTTCGTCGTTGTGTTGTCACCTTATCGTGCCCCAATACCAATTTGAGATAATTTGCTTTACAGTGAAAGCACCAAAGTGTAAAAGTATCTCAGGAGTTTGGACAACGCTTTCGTTGATGTGCACTTAAGTATTCTTGTTATACTAGTGATATTCTTTAAATCAGTTATTATACCTACAAATTTATTTTAAGACTTTCCTCCGAAGTAAATGGGACACACCCAAATGTATTCAGGGCCTTAAAATTCAAAACACAGTCTATTGCTCGTACACTAGAAGTTATGTTAAGTTTTGACAGAATCTGCCTTTACATAAGTAAGTTCATCCTTGATTGAAGTCTCAGAAGGAGGGAATGTCTTGACCAACTGAGAAATTATCAATTTCTGAGGAAACATCTGCACCTCATAGTTGATTAGAACGGGATAATGAAGTGGTGTTGAGCTAGAAGTGCAAATCTTCAAGTACTTTTATGAGAGATTAGTGTAGTTGGGAAGGTGCATGAGCGAAATAGTTTACGAACGAATCTATTAATGTGGAGACAAAACATAAACACGCACATACGGGCCGACACTTTATCGGGAACGGAGGGAGGCCATATTTCAGTTTATATAGGATTAAGAAGTCTCATTCTACATTATTCAATAAAATATCGTCTTATTTTAATAAATTATAAGCAATAAATACGTATAAAACCGATAGTGTCTTTGGAATGTGTGACTACAGCTGCGTCATTTTACACTGCTGATTCACCGTCTCTCTAGCCTCATCCGTCTGTGTGTCCTGCCGCTGCGTAGCGCCACCACTGCCGTCTGGCTTCGGCCTTTTTCGTTATCATCATCGTCGTCGTCGTCATCATCATCGTCTAAACCTAGATCTAGGTCATCGTCATCTTCATCCTCGGTACCCTTTTTCACATTTGTCTTGTTGCCCTCAGCTTCGTTTCCTGGAGTCGTCTCGGTTTCATTCGCCGCGTCTTCGTCAGAATCCTCGTCTTCGTCGTCGTCATCATCATCGTCGTCGTCATCATCATCATCGTCATCATCATTATCGTCGTCGTCGTCTGTCTCTTGTCCTTCATCTTTCTTTGGGTCGTCTGTAATGCTAGGGACCGCTGAGACCACTGCTTTAGTTGTTACTTCCAGAATGGGTGTAGTTTGATCTTGTCCTATGGTTGTAGATTCTGATTTCTCTGCCTCGCTTGAAACCATGACGTCGCTTGACATTCCTGGGAGCACAGTCTCTGTTTCGTCACCCTCCATGACTGTGATTGTGATGGCAGTCGAAGTCACTGGTTCTTTCTGAACCTTTACTGTGATTGGCATCTCTGGAATCTTCGTTTCAGGTTCCGGTGTGATGGTGGTGGTTGTGGTGGACCTATGTGGGGGTTTCCTTGTCGTGGTGGTGGTGGACTTGCGGACTGGTTTAACCGTGGTTCGCACCCTCACTGGCTTCACTGTCAGCTGTGTTGCGGGCTTTGTTGGTCGAGGGGTGGGCTCGAGGATCGGAGTCTCTGAACTTGTCTTCAGTGGTCGAAGAACAGGCTGGGGTTTGTTTGCGTTTGTGTTTTTCTTTTTCTTTTTATTGCCACCAAAGATACCGCCTAAGAAATCATCTCCGAAAACACTAAATCCTTCATAATCTGGAGAAACATCATTCTCAGAGGCTTCTTCGGCATCATCGTCGTCATCATCGTCGTCATCAACAATTCCGAAGTCATCGTCGTCATCGTCATCGTCTTCGTCGTCATCGTCATCAGCAATTCCGTAGTCATCGTCATCATCGTCGTCGTCATCGTTATTAGCAGCTTCAGTCGCCGGAACCGGAGGTGCTGGCTCAAGGTTTAGGCCCTGTGGTCCAAACCGGAAGCAGGAGACCCGTAGCGCTGCTTCTAGGTCATCCAGAGCTCTCAACTCGAGACCAAGACACGCCTTAAAGTTCTCTCCCTGGCGCGAGATTCCGTACACACGGCCGCAGAACTTGGAGATGCCTCCAGGCAGGGGCATGCACACAGGTTTTGGTTTTTTACCTACAGCAGAAAACAAACGACAAATTCTGTCTGAACATAACGAAGGCATAGTGTGAGGGCAGCTTAAAGTGACAGGTTAGGCGGACAGCCGGAGTTTCGTTCTTGGGGCTGGGGTGTCTCTTTTCGCTACTGCTACGCTCACCACAGATCGGCTTGCAAGATCTCAAAATATCAGAACGTTGAATGGCTTTGTTCTTGGGCGCAGGACTTACCTGTTATGGTCGTGTTGTGCAGCACTCGGTCCCCGAAGCTCATCGTCACCATTAGTGAATCACCCTGTAGATACGTCAACGTAGCGCAACCTGAGGACACATTGAGTGCATCAGTTTGGAAAAAATGCCACAAGTGCTCAATACACGTCTTAGCAGTGGCCAACTCCAGAGAAATACCGTACACTCTCGTAAGATAAATAAGCAATAGTGGAAAGGTGGCCTCATTTGCTATACACAGATTTTCCACATGCGTTCATGTGATTGTTCACGGCTAATTGGTCGTGTAACTCATGTGCGAATTTAGAAAGTCGAGTGGATTAGTTTTCAGCTCCATGTAAAGTCAGAGTACGAATACGGACCAAATTTACACAACTTTCAGTGTAGACCATACTTCGGGTGCGGACTCTCAAACCCGACCATCGATTTTTGAGCTCGTTTCATGCACTTCGTACAAATAAGATATAAATATTTTATATCAAATCTAAAACTTCTTGACGATGGTGAAGAGTCAATTGAATAAAATTTTTCTTGGATATTATCCATCGTCTAGTAAAACATAAAATATAAAACGTAAAACGACCGGAGATAGGGATTAGCTCTATCTAGTGGGCCCAACTGTGTAGGAACCTGAAGACGGAGATAGAGTCCCATCTCCGAAACGTCGTTTTACGTTTTATATTTACTAGACGATGGATAATATACAATAAAATGTTTATTCAATAAATATTTTAGATTTGAAACTCTTAATTGCAGATTTACACATTTGTAAATCCTTTGTTTTGGAATATTTCAAACCCCGACACAGTCTGTTCAGTTTACGTTTTCATTCCTGCCTGTAGATGGTGCCTACATCGTAACTGTTGGTCTTGGCGTCAACTGGTATTATTTTACGTCACAATTTTGCTTACCTGGTCCTTTGATGGGCACTACAGCCAATGAGAACTCCCTGCAGCAGTTACACATCAGGTTGGTACACGCGCAGTAGCGGTTTGGTGGTCCCTGTCGGTGACCTGACCTCTCGACCAGAGACGGTGGCTCTGCGACAGATAATTTTGTTTTTCTCAAGAGTCTTCATGGGGAGAACGCACGGAAAGAAGAGGTTGTGGTGTAATTTAAAGTACTGTCCTGGAATTTGCCTGGATAATCTATGGTAAAACACGAAATATCTCAGTCAGGGGCCCAGATTTGAACCCGGGACTTCCCCGTATACAAAATAGGAGTGGAAACCACTGGGTCGCGACGTTCAGAATAGTGTTATGAGGATTATAGTAGGCCTGTTGTAGATGGGACTATTACGTATGTCATTTGGACAAGCCTTTTCTGTCTTAGAAGGCTGGCTGTTGTGTCTATGGATTCAGGTGACTGTAAACGAAGTCTTGTGGGCAGCCCGCTTCAGAATTGTAGAGACGACCTGAATATGCATGTACTTACCGATTACTCTGGACGCTGCAAATGCCAGCAGGATGAATACAAGCAGAAGCTCAAACACGACAGACAGCCGCATGTTGGTGGCCGGCCCCAAGTGGTATACTTCCCTGCAATGACAGTTTCACACCGCTCATTTTGTGAAGTACGTACGAACTCACTTTGAGCAGTGAAACAGGAATTGGGCATACCTCGTTTTATTGCGCTTCGCAGATATTGCTTTTTTTATTATTATTATTATTATTATTATATAACTTTAAAGTTTGTGGCAACCCTGCGTCGAGGAAGTCTATCGGCGCCATTTTTCCAACTTCGTGTCTCTGTGTCACATTTTGGTAATTCTCGCATTGTTTTTTTTACACATAATGCTATTGCACACTTAATAGACTACAGTATAGTGTAAACATAACTTTTATATGCACTGGGAAACCAAAACATTCGTGTGACTCGCTTTATTGCGGTGGTCTGGAACCGAACCCGCAATATATCCGAGGTATGTCTGTATTTGGGATGTCATGAGGTGAAGAGAGTGTTGTGCTCCTTGGCAGATGAGTAGTGGGGAAATGAAATTTGTCAGGGAAGTAATGGGATTGTGAGATACATTTTTCAGCAAGGTACGTAACCCCCAATCAACGCGAGGGATGTATTAATTTTGGGGTAACTACGGCACATCACTGGCGTGCATTTTTATTATTACTGCGCGTACTAGTTGCTGATAGTTACGAAATGTCCGTCCCATCTTTTCCGCCCGTTCTGTTGTCTAGCGACCGTAATGGTATGCTGCCTTGTACTGTACCTGGCCTCCTGACCTACCACCGGAAGTGACATAGCCGACAACTAACATGTGCAGTGCTTTCGACTCTCCTCCCAGATTTAGTAACATTCCTCATTCTGTCGGTCCACCCCGAGGAATCTTCATCGAACGATATAAACCCCAAAGTTCTTCTGGGATGTTGCGCCGTTACTGATGATGGAGACATTAAACAGCAATGAAACGTCTCTCAATTTTTACGAGACTACATGGGAATATCCTAGAAGACAGTCATTTTCATTCTTGTGTTCGCAAACATATGTTTAGAAGCTCTCAGTAATAACGCTAGATGGCAAATTGCTCTGTTTTAAAAGTGGTGCTACCATTCGACAGCTTTTAGAAGTACTTCCAAATATGGATGAGAGAAACCTGAAGTAACCTAAGATATTTTTATCGCTGTCCTCAGTTGAAAGACACGTGAAAGGAATTTGGGGGGGAAAGACGGAAGGAGATAACAGGCAAGTAATTGATAAAAGAAAAGATCAGAAACGTTCCCCGTTGAATTTTAACGGGACTTTGCCTCTAACGATGAACTTTAAACATGGGATTAGGAACTGTGACAGTAAATGTGGCTGAACAGATTCAGCTGAACCAACAACGTCCTGCAGCAGAGATGCTCAAAATGTTTTTCACGTTTTTTTTTTATATTTTTCCAATTTAATTGTTTTATCGAAAGGTTTATTGCCTTGTTCACAAGAGCCCGCCGATAGGCCCCGTCTTGAACCAGATGAATTCAATACACGTCTCCCTTTCCTTCAGCTTTTCCGACCACAATTTTGTATGAATTTCTGATCTCGCCTTGCAAGCTGCATACTATGTGATAATGAATCAAAAGGACGACCCCAAGCAAAGAGACGTTTCACCTGCACCTGGTGCCCAGCGACTGGGATGCGAGATCCAGGGCGTGTAAAGACGTGACATGAGAGCCAATTAGTTCCGGAAGCAGGTCGCTGACCTACACGTCACTTCCTGCTCCTTCACTGGGTCAGGGTCGCTCACCAGCACTTCACTTTTTAGCGCGTTTCATTTGTCATAATTTAAATACTTCTTTCTCACCGCTATTTGTATTTGACGTCGCTCTGTCGACTGCCTCAGCCAGCAGTAACTTTTCGTGCGGACACCAGTCAAAATAAAATTTTTGGAATTTTACGTGGTCCGGTCCCAGGTCCATTTGACCCATCTCAGCCGGAGTCCGAAGTTCAGTTTCAAATGTTTTATAAACCCCGATGTGTTTTCAGTCTGCCCTAACTATCGTATTATTAATACTTATTTATCTTATTTAATAAATGCTATAAATCCTTGAATTGTTTTACGACGCTTTGAAAACATTTTCGGTTGAGGAACGGCACAAAGGGGTGGATACCAAGTTTGAAAGTCGATATCTGGAACTATTTCTGGGAGGTGGGCAGCTATGAAAATCTCCTAGAAAATCAAGTCGGTGGGGTCATGACCATAAGATGAACGTAACTAGGAATAACTTTTTCTTTGCGAAAGAAAGGCCGAAGTTTCTCTATAGAGCTTTTGATGTTGTCATCGTCCAACGCAAACCAATGACAAAATATGTGTGATATGAAACTTAATTCGCAGTGTTTATTCGAGCTGCAAAGTTGTAATTACATACCATGCATTAAAGTCTCTGGAACAAGTTTTAAAAAAAAAAGACTGTTTCAATTCTTTCAACAAAGTTTAGTGAAAATAGACTTTTTTAAATAAAGATTTTGTAAATTGACAAAAAAGTGCACGTGTACTTTAAATTTATCTGCAAGCTGGCGATTTCTGTGGGCGGCTGAGGCCGTATTGTTACTGCTGTTTCGATGGCTTTCGCTTGACAAATACGACACCAATGACGGTTTTCGTCAGTGTTTGGGAAATTTCGTGTTATTAATTGTAACAACCTTTAGAGAAAGTTAAGCTGGTTTTTAGCTGAAGAGAGCTGTGGACTTTCTCGTCACCTGGGGCGCCATTTAATCTTGATCCGGCCTTGGTTTATACATCTTACATCTTCTGTTTGTGTCAGTTCATCTGCTTGAGATTCTGCAATGATCACTCCTTTCTTTCATCAAATAATGTTGCAGTTTTCGTCAAACCGTGCTTGTATTTTGTTATGGCTCTTAATACCTTGGACTGTTTTGGCCATATTTTCATGACCTCTCTAGTTTTTCCTCAGTTTTTACTGAAGACGAAAATTTAGTGAAGCCTCTTCAGATTCGGTCTTTTAATACATAATTTTTGTTTCGCTGAAAGTCTGCCCCGTAGTATAACATTTCATTTGTTTATAAGATCAGGCATCAATTATACCTAGGCGCCATTTTTATCTACTGTAATATCAATCTGTTTCTCACCACTAAAGTCAATCTTCGAGTGTTATATTGAGAATTAGATGTTTTTTCTTACTTTGTATTTTTCGCTGGTGTGTGTCTGTTGTTGGGTATAGAAATATCTCCTTACTTTTCCATTTAAAGCTACCGGTGAAATGTTCGCGTAGTACATACAGTACGTAGGGAATTAATGGAGTCGTCTTAAAAGCTATCTTTTGTAAATCTGCTACGAATTATAACATAGCATTATAATAAAATGTTTTTTTAAGGCTGAAGATTAATATATACAAAGTTATAGTTTAGATGGGTGTCTGACGTCGTGTTTTACATCGAGGGAATTGAATAAATTACAAGTTCCTGTGGATGGAAAATATTTAGGAAAACATTTGTACCTAAGAATTCATGGGGAGTGTAGGTTATTACAGAACGAAGCACAGGATTCCACAAACAGTTTAATGTTCCTGTAGTCTAATTTGGGCGATTGTTATGAATTGGGAGTGGACTATGTACGAAGGGGAAACAAGACATGCATACAAAATTTGGTAGGAGCAACCTCTTGGAATACTTGCAAGGCCGAAACGGGATTTGTAGGATAACACTGAGATGGATTTTACGGAAGGATTGAGGATGGAAGATGGATGAAGCTGGCTCATAGTCGTATTCCGTGTTAGGCTTTGGTATTGGCAGTGTTCATACTTCGGGTAGGTTAATATATTGTCCTGTCAGCATGACCTAGTCCTTGCACGTTCGTTCCACGTGTTTGTTTGTGTGTGACCTGTGAAACGCAGACCATAGAAGGACAGACGTTTGTCCTCTTGTGGCCGACTGTGCCGTTGGGTTTACTTTACGTACATCCTGAAGTGCTACGCGGTGCGCACATTAACAGCTGTCAGAACATTGCTCTTGTTATAACAGGGTTTTATCTGTCAGATACGTTTAGCGATTATGAAGCATGAAATTCATTATTTAATTATTAAAACCGGGAGCTTGCAGTATAATGACTCTTAATTATAATACTGGGATTCCGTTCATTGTTGGTACATGACGGTAATTATTTCTGTAACATCACAGCACAAAATATTTATTTTGTTAACCACCGCAGTTTGGTCATTCTAGTGGATATTTATTGAAATGTATCTAAAATATATTCAAGTTTCTTCCATAGAGTGCCTGTTGTAGTTGTCCGTTTACAATAAATTACGCAATACCAAATTTAATCGAAATCCTTTTACTCAGAATTGTTTAACACTTGTAAAGGCGCGTGACACACGCACAGCTCAATTGGCGTGCGTTCTAAAACGTAAAAACTGCTGCCTGCCTTATGTTTCTTTTCGAAATTGCTATGATTCTGTTTGATCTAGAGATATCCTCTTCTGTCACACACTGGGAAATAACAGAAAATCGCTTTAAATTCGGGACAGTGGACCACGCTTTGGGTGTGAGATTCCTTTCCATACATCCGGATTGAAGCCCCTTCTGAATTTTCCCAGGTGAATACGAATTTGTTATTTTATAACACAATATATGAAGTCGCAATTTCATATTACCCTTGCGTCGACATTCGTCTTGCAGAAAAATATGACATTACATAAAATTATTCACTTATTTGGAGTAGGCCGTACGTAATGTTTTTGCTTGAAATTTAACTAATCTTGTCTGATTTTGATTTCACTTGGTAGGATTCTATTTTCGCAATTCTTAACCTCAAAATTAAGCTTCTGTACTTTGTCGTCAGGTGGAAGGACAGGATGTGGAACAAATTTGTGTTGATTTCAGATTTTGGATCGTTTTCAGGATCCACATTCCTAGCATACATATATATTTTTTCGTGTTTCTTCTCTTTAAGAGTACCCAATGACGACACCCTTTCCAAACTTATTAAACGATTTTCACGTGGAAAATTATGTAGCATCTGCAATTTTTATCATTTCCTCCAGTTTACTGGTAGGGTATATTAAAAGGATCTACGACCACGTAGTACTAAATTCTAAAGTATTCAGAACAGCAGCAGTGAATTTCCGGATGCTTTAACGGAACACTGTAAATGAAACAGACTTACCTCGACCGAAGTAAACAGGGAGCGCTTCTTCAGGAATACTGTTCTGCCTCCAGCAGGCTGTTCTGTTCTGTTGTGGCCGTGGAGCACTGCGTAGCTCTCCTTTCTTAGACGCGGCTTCCAGGTCAGGAATATCGGTCAGCGAGTAGGTCAACAGCCCCACCTGAATATCCAGGACATAATCCCACGTCGATTCTTCAGTTACTCAGAAACGAAGGTCTGAATTAGAATTGTAGCCTAACATACAGGCGCAGGTAAATCGGTTTAATTTACAAAGACATTATAAGTAATACATCTGTTAGGCCTACATTTATCGAAGTTAAAGAATTCTACGATAAATTAATATGATTGTGCAAAGAATTGTTCAGGTGCGGTATCCTACTTTGAGGATATTGTTCGCCAGTTGCTTGTGTGTTGGTGTAGGACTGAGTGGGGGGGTTTCGAACTGCCATACGCGTTTTGAAAGCCGCTGCTCATTCGTGTGTTTCAGAGGATGGACATCCAATCATTCTTCACAGTAATATGAGAATATAAAATATATTTATATGTATTTCGAAAAATATTTGTTGGTTGGAAATGTACTTAAATAACCGTGTATGAAAATGTTACTGTTCTGTTCGTTCATTAAAGTCTCTCACGTTTTCGTTCTCGCCAAGGAAGGCAGATGTTTTCTGATGACAAGAGTCGTATAGCGGTACTGGGTTATGCTTTAGCTTATGTGTGCTTTCGTTCCGTCACACACATTGCATTGTCTCTGTTGTAAGCAGTCCGCCAAACAACTTACGACGTATTGAAGTAAAATAGTTGTGTTGTAAGCCTGTATCACACTTTACTGAGACATTATGATTTCTGGTTTTTTTGGTTGATTTTATAGACTTCTTTGTCGAAGGGTCCAAATTAACTCGCAGCTTTTGTGAATCCTTTGACGTATTTTGCATATTATCCTACCATATCTCAGGCATCGTGCCAGACAAGCGTATGGACGTGATTTAAAGGAGACTAAATTCTTACGCTTACTTGGTTTTACAAATGTTCATCATTAGTGGTTCATACGCCCAGGTATAACTGTATCTCAGCATTACTACCTTCTGGCTTGACATACATTTCACAATGTTATGTTCTTAGACCAAATAATATATCCGATAACGCCTTTCTAGTACGATGTGACTGTCGTTAATTCTAATAAGGCCCAAGTTATTCACAACTGTTAGTCTTTGTATTCCATTTAAATAATTGATTTGCAGATGACAGAACAACGGAAATGAGTGTACTGCATTCTTTCTTTTCATTTTCTGTGCTTTTGTTTTAAATTGAATATACAAGCAAAATCTAGAATGTGCCATCACAAAAACTCAACAGAATTAAAGCTACATCAGTGATTCACAAAACTGGGAATCGACGAGAGCTGTTAGGTGATATTAAAAGACGATGAGACGAAATAACTGTCATTAAAGTAAGTTTTGGTGTTCATAGTTGCATGTTTATTTAGTATTCTATTTTGTTCTTAAATAACAAGTAATTTATACTTTGTATATTTGCATTCGCATACACTGAATTAACGTGGTCAGAATAATGTGAACATACTTGATTTAGGCTGCACAATAATTTTTAATTATTTGATAAGTCTTTTACATACATTTATAACCTGTATAAATCCTTAGTTTATTTAACGCACTGGCTCCGTGGCGTCGAATGAGATGTATGATAATTATGAGCTATGATTTGAGAACGATGTGAAAGGAAGAGGTCGTGGCATGTTTTAATAGTGTGTGAGAATTTTCGTTTAGGTGCTGAGGGAAACGACTAAGAACCTCAAGGTAGCCGATCTCCGCATCGAGATTCGAATACCGGACCTCATGAAACGAAGCAGGAATAGTTCATGTTCTGTGCTTTTTTCTCATATAGCTCATTGTGTTCCAGGTAACAATCGTCATCAGCTATACGAAACGACACATTGCTTTAAGATATTAAGTTAATTGTCCATGTTAAGGCTGTTATGTAGAATTTGAGGTTCTCACGGCGGTGGTATAAATATGGCCGTTTTCTGGGTTGTAACACCGTGTAAGTCTGCCGAAGTTTTCTGACGTTTGAGAGGTACTTGCTGCCTCCATCATCAGGGCACCGCCTCTGAAACGGTAATGTTCTAGCAGACTACACGTCGCTTCAGCCCAGAAGACTGAAATCTTCTTGTCATGAAGGAGGTCTTTAAATGTTCACTTTCGAACATGGTAGGTGGAACCGATCTCTTGGTGGTGGGAGGATTCTTATGATATGCGGTACCGAAACCAGAAAGTGACTGCACTGGCCGGAAGTGCGTCCCTGCATCGAATAACAACGAAAACTGGGTGACCTGCTGACCTGGATGTGTGTCTTTGTTCCAGCTGTCTGTGAGCTCCATCCAGTGGCTTGTGGAGAGACGAGCGGTCAACATGCAGTCGCTGCCCCTTAGCCTTCTTCTCCTGACAGCTGCTGCTGTCAGCTCCAGCAGCAGCATCATGGGTGAGTGATGATTATGCTGACAGAAAATTACGTAGGAGAATTTCCGTTTGAGTACTGTGGAGTGTACTTGTAAAACTGGTTGTTGGGCCGCGTAGTCCGGTAAAAGTTTAGCGACTTTTCAGAGGCGTTTGCTGCCCTGATGATGGAGGCAGCATGTATGAGGCCTTAATTCATCCAGGGCTTACTGTTGCTAACACGCAGCGTCCACTGGGAGTCACAGTGTGACATGCATTACCGAGTGTTGGAATATTAGATCATGTGGGACAGTTACTTCTGATGTTTATCTCATCGTGGTTCGAGATGAATTTGCTCCTTTCCTGCAGGGACACGATTCTGCAATCAAATTAACCAGGCGTCAACACGACGATGTCAGTAGGATTTGAGGTTTTTACAGCTGTGAGTCCGAAGATGGCTGTCTTGTGGCTTGTAGCGCCGTACAGTCTCATAGAAGTTTATTTACGTTTCAGAGGTCATTACTGCCTCCATCATCAGGGCGATGAGTAAGCCACGCGCGTAGAAACTGAGTTACAGGAAACCGCCCTGATGATTAAGGCAGAAAGCATCTCTGAAGCACTGGCGAATTTCTGGCAGACTACACGATGTCAGACCTCAGAGCAACAATGTTTTCGAGAAAATGGTTGTATGGAACCGAAATACCGTACTCTGTGACGAAGGTTTGTTTTGGTCGCCAACTTTTTCGTGTATTTCAAAGGTAGGGGTTTCCGGTCCAGGAACATAAAATAGTAGGAAGACAGCCATCCTTGTACTCGCAACAATAAAATAGTAATTCAGTCAGAAATTGAATGCATTTCTGGATCATGTATGGCAACAGTTCTGCACAGTTTCGTTGTTCGTTTGCGTAAGTTCCAGAGCTTAGAGGACGTCACGTCGGACGTGTTTAAAACCATTTTCCCAGGTTCGTATGAATCTGGGTCAATTTCAAAGTGTGCCATGATGAACACCACTTTGTGTGTTTTAATCAGGGTTGATACGACCCTCCTCTGTAGTGCGTTAAATGACTTTCTTTCTTTCTTTCTTTCGTTACACTTTCTGGGGAGAAGGCGCATGTAAATGTTTATTTAGCCTAACGCGGAGGCTGCTGGTCCAGGGCACGTATTTTATTGGATTGCTCGAACAGTGGGATCATGGGTTCGAATCATCGCTCAGGGTATGGATGTAAGTTGTGTCATCCTCGTTGGAGTATCTCACATTTTTAGACAGTTCGTCATTTTATTTTGTGTGTGATTGTTTTAAAAGTGATACTTTCATTACGGATGTGATCCGGTTTCTTTAATCTGATTTAAAGTATTATTGGGGTAAAAATAATCGGTAATATCCGGCGTCGAAAGCGAAATACAAAATATTTCGTACAGAAAATCGTGGCTTAGTGAACTGTTTAATTATCAAAAGGCTCCATATGTCAATATAGATCAAATTTGTGCCAGTCGAAATTTGACTCATGACCTCTGACCTGGAAGGACAGGATAGCTGGTGTCCTGCACGAGATTCGAACCACATTCCCTTCTAATACAAAATAAATGTTGAGTGGGATTTCATATTCTCAAGGCGGCGACTATGAATATGGCTGTCTCACGAGATGTCAATTTCTCTGAGACTACTCAGCGCTGCATACCAGAAGGCATTTATCGTCATAGGAAATATTCTTTCAGCGAATTCTCAAGACTTAACTCGCTGCACTGTACGACGTTTGGGGGCATAGTTCACTTCCTCACTTGTAATCACTACAACACTAATGGGCCCACTTTCTGACACAACAACCCAAAAGACAGTCATCTTAATGTGTCAAATTCATTTATTCATATTATACTTGAGGTTCTTATTTCATTCCACTAAGGATTTTAATGGAGTTGTAACGTACTCAGTGACTGAAATAAAAAGCATTTGAGCTGGTGGTTGCTTGGAAACTGCAGAAAGTCAAGGATTTGGTTGATAATTCTTCATTCGTGCTATATACCATACCCATATTACCCCTCCTAAGAAATATTTTGTTGATGACAAGTTTCTCTGCGACATGAAAGCAAATACTCACCAGAGGTGACCTACATAAAATAAACTCCATGACTTAACTTCTTAGCAGTTTACTTCTACATCTGTAACGAATTGTCAAGTAGGTCCTGTAAGTTTGGTTTTATTGCAGACATGTTCACGTGGGATGGTCTTCTCGACATACCAGATGATGAAATCAGCCAGCAGCGGGATAATGAACCAAGCGACCTAGTAGAGAAGAGATGCTTTTGTGAGGGACCATCCTGTAATTGCTGCGTGGACTTCAACCTCACTTACATTGACCTGGGTGGTCCTGGTAAGTTAGCACTGACAGCTGAAGTGTGATCTTGCCTTTTAACATTTGGAAATTTCTCAAATCTGGAATTGATCGTGAGTGATGTCTGATTACCTCCGGACATGTTCACAGGATGCGTTCTTATGAAGTATCTGTCTCCAACTGATGGAATAGCAGTTAATGTTTCGTATGGCAACAGGTTACTACACAGAGAAATTGTGAAAGGTACGTAAAATATAGCTTACATTAAAAAAATGTATCTGCGTGTAAACATAAGGACAAGAATGACATATGTTATTTATACTGTTTGCCAATCCAGTATACCTCATAAATCCTGCACATTCTTTGTATGTTTGCTATTGCCTCTCATACTTTTCCATCTTTTCTTTGTTCACATTTATCATTTGTACCTCCTTATCCTTTCTCTCAGTCCTTTTCTTTTATAGGATAGGATTTCAGCAAAATATATGACTAATAGAAAACGTACAATGGTATTATAGGTTTTATGTCTATTTAATTATGCATTGGGTACTGTCAAAGTATTTTCCTGCAGAATGAGGAAAACGATGTCCATATCAAGATTGCTGTCTTCTGGGTTGTTGCGCTGTGTAGTCTGGTCGATGTTTACCAACGTTTCAGAGGTCATACTGCCTCCGTCATCGCCCTGATGATGGAGGCAG